TTCCCTTTTTCTCAGTCTCTCTCTCTCTGCCCCCTTATCCTTCTTTCTCTTCAACTTTTCCTCTCATCCTCCCCTCTCCTAGAAAGCCTATTAAAACTACTTTTCATTGCTTCCTCAATCCTTATATATATATATATAAGTATTTGGATATACTATATTATCTCCAATAAAACGACAAACCCTGGCTCCAAAGAAATTATATTTTAAACTTAAGATCTCCCTCAATATTTAATAAATGCTTATAAACAGGATTTAAAGCCCTTTTCTGAAATTAAAGATTTGAAGAAATATTTTCTTTTGCACTAACATTGTGTATAAAGACTATGCTAAGAAAATTATGATGGGTTCTTAAAGAGCTAGTACATTTTTAAAAAATCTTGGAAATTATGTTTCTTGGAAATATACCAGCTTGAAAACACGTCCTCTGTGAAATAGCTCTAATGCCAAGGAGTCTTTGTATGTTTCACACAAGAGAATAATGGTAAGAATCCACGGCCATGACAAAGTTAACTTCTTTAAACAAAGAAAGCCAGAGAGATGGGAAAAAAAGTGACGTGTCCCCTGAAGAAAAGTCTGGAAGGATTGCATACATAGATATTTGGGGAATTTATATACTTGGTTAAAGAACACATATTTGTTGGAGTCTCCAAGGGATATCTATAGTGGAATCTGGTTTCAGGAAATGAAAGTATTGGATAATGCAAGGAAACAAAAACTAAAACTAAGAGGTTCGTCGTCATTTTGAGATTAGCCCTCTGAGCATGGTAAGGAAATACCACAGCTAAAGAAAGACCATTGCATTCCACATACATGCCTCCTACATACTAGGTTGTCAACAAATACCTATTGAATTAAGGAGGACCTTGATTAGCCAAACTCTCATCTTTTTTTTTTCTTTTTTTCTTTTTTTTTAGTATTTTCCACAGTTCAGTTCATGGAGACTTAAGAATTCTAATAGCCCAAATCTAAATGTCCCGTTTTAAACAATTGGTTCTAAAAATGTCAACCAACAAAATGAAGTTTTAAAGTGCAGTTTGCCATTTGATTGAGAGCATTTTGGATGATTTTAGATTAAGAAGCTATGTCCTGCGTGCTTTTTATTCATTTTACTGAGTAGATTGCTCATTTCCATTTTTGCACAGAAGCACTCAGAATGAGATGCTATCCTTGGTCCTTAGAGTGGGATGGTCCGGTTCACCAGAGATGAAGCAGTTGTTTTCAGGAAGTTTTGCCAGTCCCAACTGAACACATATTCAAAGTGCTGAGTAGTACCACGTCTGTGTTTGCCCTGCCTCTCGCATGAAATGAGATACCTGCCAGCAATATCCTTTGCTGACAGATTCGGAACAAAGTCTCTGAGCTCAAGGAGAAATGGGAGAACTGGCTGGATCAGACTGGTCCTTTGGGAAAAGTAATGTTGGCTATGAGGCCCCTGCCTAAGACGCCGCTTGGTTATTTAACAACCTTTCTGCCATTCAGAGAGCTAAATAAGAGTTTTATGTGGAGGACAAGGAACGATTCATTTCTTTCAGGGTTAGCTTTTCAGAAGAACCCTCAAAACACAGGGCCCTTCTATTCTGAGAATACTAAATCTCTTGGTGACTTCGGTGAAAGAGACATGAAGGAACTGATGAAGGCAAAGGTGTTTCAAATGGAAAATAATGGCTCTTGGAAAGGAGTAACTGGCAAACATCTGGTGTCCCTTTATTTTAAATGAACATCTGTTGTTCTTGGTTAATAGGTTACACCTGTTGACCAATCACCATCGCTACATCCTACTAAAGGTGAAAATACTGGTGTCGAGGTCCCACCTGCCTGAGACCCTGATGTGATTTCTCGGATTTGGTCTAAGCTTCTGGAGTTTTCCAGACCTCCTGGGATGTTAACATGCAGCCAAGATTGAGAACCACTGTGTAAGCAGACTTAGACTTCAACACATGTGACACTACGATTTATTAATGCAAAAAAAAAAAGAAAGCGACCTAGAGATGTCAATTGTTTATAGAATTTTACCATGTGCTTCAAACATTTTAAAGCACATGATTTTGTTTATATTACGTTTTGATCGCTTTTAACAGTTTGACACAACTTTATGTGGGTTGATTTGAACTCTTGTCAATTTTATATGCACATCACAAGACGGGTGATATCCATTGTGTTGGTAACAAGCAAATATCAACAAACAAAAATAAAACAAATCTACATATTGTTCAAATATCTGTACATGCAGTCCTTCCTCATTGGGCAAAACAATGACAATATCCCTTGGTAAAGATAATCTAGAGAGATCAGTTAATGATTTATTACCTTTCTTTTCTTTTTCTTTAGAAAGGTTTTTTTTTTTTTTTTTTTTTTTTTTTTTTTTTTTTTTTTTTGTTTGTTTTCCTTTTTTTTCTTTTTTTTTTTTTTTTTTTTTGCTATAGAATGCATGCACTCACCGGAGAGACAGAGACAGAAAGCAAGAAATTACCCAGCCCCTCAGGGTGGTATGGCCATGCCGCAATCTTTTCTTCTTCATTTTCCTCTCAGGATTCTGGGCACACATGGACATGCACCCAGCATGAGTCTCAAGCCACCAGGTCCAGGACTCAAACTGCAGTCGACTATGTGGGAGCCCAGTGACATAACCATTACACCATCTGCTGGCCCCTAGTTTTCTTTTTTTATAATGAGCTTATATAGTCAAATATTTTTTTTAATCCCTAGATAAATATAAATGGATAAGGATCAGATAAGACAAGAATGGCCTGATGGTGGCACAGCGGTGAAACACAAAGCTCTGTGAGGCTGACCCGTGTAGCAAGGTTCTGCGACTTCCCTCAATATATCTGGCACGTGTGTGCCCACAATGCTGGCTGAGGCTGGGGGAGGGCTGCAACGTAAAGACCCTGCTTGGGGGAGGGGGTCTCTCTCTCTCTTTTATTGAATACATAGAGTTTAAGAGGATTAATTTTTATGTCTAGGGGCCAAGAAACAATTCTACTGAATCTCCCAGAGAGTCCAGTGGGTCATACATCAGGACAGAACTCCAGAAGGGTTTCACGGCTCTCCCCTAGTCTCCCAGGTAAGCCGCAGAGCCTCAGTCTGCTCCTGTTAACAGTTAGATAAGAAGAAGGGGCTGATGTAATTTGGAATACTACAAGATTTTGCTTATAGAATTTCTCCTTGTGGGCATTGTATCCAGAACATCACGAACAAAAACCTGCAATCTCACTTTCTCAGATTAGATCTTGACATTTACAGCCTGGAAACCCTATGAGAAGAGTCTCCAGGAGATGTGCTTCCAGAAAGGGGATTGACAAAGGAGAAAAACGTGTTACCAAGAAGGAAGCACCCTGGCCCTTGGTTGGGGTGGGCTGCAGGAGGTGACATTAGGACTCTGCTAAGGGCAAGAGGAGCTAAGAACACAGAGGAGGGACGTTTGGTGCCAACTTTACCAGCCTTACATTTCCCTTTGCTTCTTTCGCAGTGGACATCAAATGTCATGCCGGCCCAGCCTGCCAGCATGCTTCTACACGACATGGACAACCAGCCACGTGGGTGGTCCCAGTGAGGACAGCCAATCATCACACTCCATGCTCTTGGTCAGGGAGCTTAGATCAGGACGTGGGCGCGTGACTCAAACTGGGCACGTCAGAGTCCTTCTCTGGGATTCTCAAACCTTGTTCTTCCTGAACTGGTAAAGTTAGGAAGAGTCCAAAAACTCAGCAGTAATGATTCTAGTCCCAAGGAGGAAGTTGAGCCGTTGCAGGGGAGAAAGACGCTATCACTCAGAGAGAAGCAAAGACACGAGGTGAGATGTTCATTTCCTCCTGCGAGCTGTTTTTACCAATACCTTTCCTCTTTCTAGTTACATGAGACATACAGTTGCCTTTTCTAGGCTGCCTTGAGTTGTAGTTTGTGCAATGTGTAATCCAGACATCCTGAATATTAACCTTACTCTCTTTTTTTTTTTTGGAGAGGTTTTCGCTATACGGTGCATGCACTCGCCAGAAAGAAAGAGAGAGACAGAGAGACAGAAAGTGAGAAATCACCCCCCTAGGGGGATGGCCACACTGCCATCCCTTCTCTTCCATTCTCCTCTTGGCATCTTGGGCACGCATGCACACGCACGCAGTGTGAGTTTAAGCCCCCGGGTCCGAGACTCGAACTGCGGTCAGCTACGTGGGAGTCCAGTGACATAGACATTATGCCAACTGCTGGTCCCTTAACCTTACTTTCATACTTCTCTTATTCCTTTCCTACTTATTTCCTTCTCTTCTCCTTTTCAAAAGTTGAGAGGTACTATGCTCCATCAGCTCTGAGGAAGAAGACCAGTTTTCCCTGAAACTTCTCCTTTTCAAAAGTTGAGAGGTACTATGTTTGCTCCATCAGCTCTGAGGAAGAAGACTAGTTTTCTCTGAACGTTGCCAGATTCAATAAAACCATATTTAATGTAACAAGAGGCTGGACGTGGTACAGTGGTGAAACACAACACTATATGGGGCAATCCACATGCAAGTGCAGAGACCTTCCTAGTAAACCAGCACATGCTTGCCCATGATCTGGGCTGGCTGATGGCTGGGG